GAATGAATGAATGAATGAATGAATGAATGAATGAAAGGCACCAAAATTGGCACGTAAAATACCTCAATTAAGCTCTTAAGCCGCAATTACCTCTACGTGCCCTATGCCGCATTGACAGCAAGGCTGGAATACCGTTCAGTAAATGGCGGTATTCTACGGGTCGTATGTAATATTGTTTTCCGAAAGTTATGCGTCCAGCTGTTTCGTGCTGGAAAAGTCTGCTTAGCAGTTAATATGCAAGGCTATCTGCTTAACAGTGGCCACTGTACTGGTTAATCGATTCCTCTCGTACTATGTTTCACCTACATCATGTCCACATTTTAGAGGATTTTGACAGTGATCTCGTTGCAATTTTTTCAACTTTGCCGTTTTCCTTTTAGAAGAAACACGGCTGGTGTAGCGTAAAACTTTCGTTTGCAACCCAAATTTAATCCGGCCCTTAGTTTCCGATTTATCAAATTATAATTTTTCTTCATAATCTTGATTACTTAACGGGTTAATGAGCAGACTATTATGTAGCGATTTAACATGACAAAGTGAACGTTGTTGTACGTGGAAAGGATACGCGGTCATTGTTACATTCCTCTGTCCTTTGACCAGCAAGTAATCTTCGTAATCTGTCAACCGAGTTTGAAGCATCTCTTTGATTTGCGAAATGGTTGTCAGAAGTTGTTGACTGATGGACGGCTCCCCTCGGCTCGTACAGAACAAAACACTGAAGAGAGACTTCAAGCTCCGTGTCATTTCTGACACGGATGATTCCAGCTGAGGAGACATCTCAGCGCCGACTGGAGAGGCCAGAAAGCTTACTAAGTCACCTCTTTTGACTAACTCCCAGCGATGGCGCAGGGTTCGAACTTGATTCTCAACAGCAACCTGTAATGACCATGTATTTCGGTTACTCACAGGGCTTCAGTTGTCCCGCAGGGCAAGTAAATCGGGCAAGTGCCCAGGCAAGTCATCTGTCAACTAAATCTAAAAAACCCTAAGACTTGCTCAAGGCAAGCAAAATCTGAGAGCTGCTTGACCGAAGGGCGAGCTAGAATTCAAGATTTTCTTGAGCCCTCGCTCAAGCACAAAAAAATTGAATGGACTATCATCAAACCAAATCCAAACGAACCATAAAACAAGTACATAACCTTCTCGCAACAAACTGCCAGAAACAGAAAGCGCGGGAAGATCGGGCATACCAACCAGGACTGGATTTGGTCTTGAACATGAGTAGCCGAAAATAAAGAATATTCTTTCTCATCGATGATTTTATGTTTACCATACCTTATCAATTAATGTTTAGAGCATGAGAGAAATGAGTGAGAGTGCCACAATCAGTTGACAGCCTGTACTGACTGTTCGACACTTGTCGGGTGAATTACTTGAATTCTTATATTGGTAAAAGTGAAGAACACTTCCAAAAAGACCTTGTCGGTGGTCTGTCAGCCAATTGTCGGCCGACTGTTGGCTGTTTGTCGGTCAACTGGTCGATGAGCGGCCGACAGTCTCGAAACACCTACCCCCACCGTGGTCCTCATCGAATCAAGAACTTTCTTGACAGCGTTTTCCAGTCTCTCCATGAGAGCCTGAACCTGCTGTACTGTCCGCTGACCCTGCTCGGCAGTGGGTTTGATAGAAGCCAAGGACTGTAATGCTTGGAAAATAAACTGAGCCACATTGCACTGTTTTGCCTGTCAAATAATTAAATAACAACAAGTTGATGAGTCGAATCCAGACAATTCTCAAATGTCAAGAACACTCTCTAAAGAGACTGTTAAAATGTTACTCTAACACTACACTATGTTAGGCTTCTCTGTTTTTCCTACAGTCAAGTATAATAACGAGGGACACTTAGACGCGCTCACAGAATGTCGGAAAGTTGGTTTATCACTGGCTTTGACATCTTTATCAAGAGGCCAAGGCCTTTGGTGGAGGTAAGGTGATTTACAAAGTTACTGGAAGAGTGGCTATTGATTCAGGCCATGTGATGCATATCTGCACAAAGGTTGGACAGGCATTAATCCGCAGGGTTTCCCATATCTTTCCAAAATTATTAGAGAGATACTTTAATGAATTAATGATGTTGATTAGTTATTTTCTGTTTATTCTTGAAAAGTGCAGCCGCTACAATACAGTTTGCAATTGGCAGGATGGTCAATGTCAGGGCCATCAATAGCCCATAACACCTGTTAAGGCTGAATATGTTTGATGGGTCCTTGATGTTATGGGTGAACTTGCCAGTAGTTGATTCAATTCACCCATAAAGAGGTATGTTAGGTAGGGTTTAGATTAAGTAACTGTCAGCCACGTTGGTCAGCCAGAAACATGTAAAAAGGCTATTGAAGAAGTCTAGTCTGAAGTGCAGGTGATGTCTAGGAATGGAACGCTCGATGTACCAAGTTTTCAATGCCGCTATCTTGGATTGTAGTTGGATGCTTGGTGGAGCACTTGTATTTTTCCTTCCCCTACCCTTCCCCTCTTGCCCATTTTTTCCACTTCACACCTACTCCCTCAACAAGTGGACAGCAAGTGTTCCCTTGCCAAAACCCTCCACAGTTACCAAATCCAAGGTGGCAGCCTAATACGAAAATGTGCACTCGCGCGCCCAAAATACGCCTGCACTACAGACTGGAAAAAGTCAGGATCAACTGATCACTGTAATGTGGGGAGTAAAAAGTGTTGCAATCCAGAACCTGTTACAGCCAGATATGCCTACTGTCACAAGTGCTATAGGGCCTGCTCAAATGAGCAATTTTATAAGGTAACATATCAAAAATAAAATAATTTTCTACATAAAATGGCTGTCAACAGGATACCTGGACTATCTGGCTAAAAGCCTCTATTGGGTTTTGGTAAGTATTTCACTGACTGGTTCGATGTGACAGTGCCTTAGTGGTGGTTGCTTACAGGGTCTGCATGAATATCTCCTTCCCCATGCCAGAATAATTCTGGCATGGGGAAGGAGATATTCATGGGATATTCATAGTTAGGTTGGGAGCTGGTGCAACAATTATTGTTGCACCAGCTCCCAACTTATCTAACCGCTGCCTGGTTAGCTCAGTTGGTCGAGCACCGGACTGCTGTGCATGAGGTCAAGGGTTTGAGACCCAGACCGGACTAACACTCAAGGTCTTAATAAAAATAACTGAAGAGAATGTGCTGCCCTTGTAATTACATCTGCAAATGGTTAAACATAAAAAGTTCAAGTATTCCCGAATAAGGACTATAAATTGTAGGCCATGTCTCCAGTGTCTCCAGTGTTAAATGGTTAGCAGGGGACATTAAAGAAACCATAAAGTTATTGCAGAGAGTTGGGCATGGAGTTCCCGGTGTTGTGGTCTGGTCTTGTCACATGTTTTAATGCCACAGTTTTGCACCCCTTGGGACAGAATTGTTCAAGAAAATATGTCTAGCTAAACCACACTAGACAGACAGCAGATTCTTTATATTTTTCTACTGTACACAACTGGAACAAAACTAAAGCATAATCTACAAGTACCAAGGAGTAATGTTGTGAGTCAGTACAAAAAGTATTTTCACATTCACTCTTTAAGACTCTGGAGAACAAGAGAAACTGCTCACAAATGACCTCAACCAAAGTTTCAGTTTCTTACCTCACATACAAGAACCAAAACTGTCCCTGTAGCAAGACGCACAAAGTGAAGAACGTGAGGTAAATATGGACACTTGTCAGCACTTAGGAAGACAGGTTGACGATAATACTCATGCCTCTGATCAGTACTTTGTGAATGACCAGTTGCTTCCAGTTCATCTTCATCAGTTTCATCTACTTCTTCATCTTCCAACTGAATAAAAATAATAATGATTTACGTGAAATGAAAGTTGTTTATGTTTATAGGAAAGAGTTTTTATTAGTGATCTACAGAGCTCTGTAAAAATTTATCTGTTATCACTGTATATCAAGAGGTCCTCTGTAGATATACAGCTCTCTTACTCTCATTAAATTAAGTACATTAAAATTGTTTATTTTTTCTAAACAATGGCACAAATAAGTTGAAACCTGCAATGAAGGTGCATATTAACCTTTTTCTTGAAATACTCAGGTGTGTCTGCCCTTGGTGTGGAAAAATACTCTTTTGGTGTAACAGGAGTCTTTGGAAGCTCCTGAGCTGCAGATTCAATACTATCACTTGGTGTGGGTGAAGATCGTGGAGAATAAAAGAATTCATCTTCAACTGAGCCAGAATAACCAGCTTCTTCAGCGTGGGAATTCTGTGATTTTTTAATGTCAACAGGACTTGAATGCACAGGTGTTCTTGAGCTCTGTTCCCCTGTAGAAGAACCCAATGGTGTTACAGAACCATCAACAATCTTGTGCGACACTGAGGGTCCTCCTTTGTGGATCACCTTGTGTGCCAGGGGAGGAGGGGTTCTGTTGAGTGTTAGAGGTATGGCTTGTTTTGAGTGTGGGAAGATGTTGTGTAGCAGTACTGTGATCAAGAGAATGTCTGCAGCCTTCAGTTCTGATGCATTACGACTGAAATTAGAAGAAACGTGAACTCATTTTATGATCATCTCATCTACTAATTAAGAATACAAAACATTTATTTATTTAATACATGTACAAACCTATTGGACCAGTCACAGTGGTTTTTATGACTAACTTCAATTAGCATAGTTTTAAAAAAATAAACCAAAGCATATCCGTTTGTCTTGTTTTTGAATAAATAAAGTGCCATGTTGCTTTAACTACATTGCTGTTGTTTGCTGGATATGCTTAAATTCTGGTAACAGAAAGAGACTAGGACTACAGTAAAACGTATCAGTGGACTCTCAGTATTAACTACTTAATAACCGAGAGTGAGGTCGTTACGGGAAAATCTCAAACTGAGGCCTTGCTGTATTGACTGAGCGATAGCGAGGTCAATACGGTAGGCCGAGGTTTGAGATTTTCCCGTAATGACCGAATGGTCGAGGTTATTAAGTTGTTTATTTTATGGCTCATGAATTTAATAAAGAAAAGAAAAAAATTATTCGAGCGGAAGTCGTCAATTTACATCCGGCGATGCGTGCGTTTACCGATTCATTCATCATCTCAAACCCAGGGCAAAACTACACAGTCAGTGACCTTTACGTATTCTGTGAAAAACACACATTTCTTTACGGGAAAAATGATT